TGTTAAAATAGAATGTTTTATATTTTTCTAGATAGTTACCTTTTCTAGTTCTCCCTGAAGATCTAGCATTCTGATACTATTTTCCTTAAACCTTAAGAGCTTTCTTTTAGCAAGGTTTTTGACCTGAAAATGTTCTGACATCATTCTTAAAGACTATTTTTGCTAACTATAGAATTCTAGTTTGGCTTTAAAGATGCTATTATACTGTCTTCTCTGCCTCATTGTTCTTTGTATCCAGCATTTGTCTTGCTGCTTCCCTGTATGTAAAGGTCTTTTTTTCCTCTAGCAGCTTTTAAAATTTACTATTTATCTTGCATTTTCAGCAGTTGCTTATGTTGCGTCTGTCATTTTCTTTGTATTTATCTTACATGGATCTTTGAGAATTTTGGATTGATAGTGATGCCTCTTATCACTCATGATTATATATATATATATATAACTCATTTTCTCTCCCCTCTCTGGGATTCCAAGTGTATGCAGGTATGTTTGTTTATTCAGAGACAGGGTCTTGCTATATATATAGTTTAGGCTGCCTTTGAAATCACTATGTAGGCCAGGCTGGCTTCAAACTCAGTAAACTCTCAGGTGCTGGGTTCACCATGGTGCACCTCCATACCTGGCTCTCCTGTATGTTAATTTAATACAGTATTTTTCTGCCTATCTTGGATGTGTTATTTTTTATTTTTAATAATTTTTTCTTTTTGTGTTTTAGTTTAGATTCTTTCCATTGATCCATATTCAACTTTATTGATCCTTTTCTCCATCCTGTCTCATCTGCTGTTAGCCTCAAACTTGTGATCTGCCTGCCTTAGAATTCTGAGTAGCTGGGAGTAAGGGACAGTGAGAACACCCGAACACCCGATCCCTTGGGAGGATTTGCTTTGGCGTTGATGCAGGCCCCATTTACGGCTGGAGCTTTTCCTCTCAGGGGCACTGCTCTCAGGCTTTGCTTGTTAACCCTGCATACTCTTAATGACTAGCAAGAAAAATCTGAGCTGTGCATTGTGCTGTGTGCCTGTAATCCCAGCAATCTGGAAGGTCTGAGGCAGGAAGATCACAAGTTCAAGGTTAGCCTGGGTTATTGAATAGCAAGATCCTGTCTCAAAAAATATGAAACAGCTGACTGTTAACCAGCAGAAAACCAGACATCCATGTAAGCCCCTGGGGCTATGGAAGTGAAGGAACAATGCTGGGACACTTTGAGCTTTGTTACTGGTAATAGATGTAAGAGGTTTTAAAAAAACCCTTCTGTGGTTAAAACAAAGGAGCAAAGAAATTTCTTGAGGTACAGAAAGCTGAGAACAAGACTGTACAGAGAAATTACCAATGATGGGCTTGTTGGCACATGCCTGTAATCCCAGGATTTGGGAGGCTGAGCCTGGAGGAATGCCACAAGTTTGAGGCCAGGGTGAACTATGTATCGAGACCCTGTTTCAAAAAAAAAAAATAAAAAGAGAGTGAGGTTTTAAGAATCTTGTCTGTGTTGATATCCCATCAGTGGGTCACTTTTTGTTTAATTCATTTTGATTTATTTTTCTGTCTGTAACCTTCAGTATTGTATGTGTGGGGGAACAAGGGAGTTGGATATATTAAGGTATAATTCAACTGGTCATTTTTATGTGTACAATTTGTGTCTCCTTTTCACCTTCTGTGATCCTTAGTTCTTGGCAACTATTAATCCAATTTCTTGCCTTGATAATTTCACCTTTTAAATAATATTATGTAAATGAAATGAGCGTGTAGCTTTTTTTCACTAAGATTTAGTTTATCATTGTGCTTTAAAGATTTATTCATATTGTTATATATTTCCATAGTTGGTCCCTTTTTGTAACTGAGTATGTTGTATGGATGCATACTCACTTGTGTTATAATGCTTATTTAGAAAATGCACATTCCAGTATAATCACTGTATCAGGAAACAATTAGAGTATAACATAAAATTTTCCATTTGTAGTCTGGGGATGTAACCCAGTGGTATAGTGCATGCCTGGCAAGCACAAGGCCTTGGTTCAGTTCCCCGGTACCAAAAAATTTTTTTCCCATTTGCTCCATCAGCAAACCACATAAGAATTCATAAAATGTGTGCATGTATGCTTGTGTGTGCTCACATACACACATATACCTCGGACATCTCCAGTGACCCCAGTGTACTGCCCACATTGTAAGTTGCACACCCCCACAACTAGAGTTACAATTTCTGATTTCAGACAACTTTACTCAGTGATAATTTACAGACTTCAACACTTCTCATTCCCACTCTCATAGCAAATCTAGATTATTTTTCAAAGTGCTGTATTGTGATATTTAATATGTATAAAAATGATGCTACTGTTATTGAGACTCCAGTTTTTAAAAAGTGTCTCTGATGAAGTCCTTGTGTGTGGTGCCCCAGCATCATTTCCCTCAACTGTTCTGTGGGTTTTGTTCCATGATTTTGCACAGTACAATTATTTTTAATATTTTTCTATAACATAAATTGTTTAATTCATGGTATAGCAGAACTGACATCAGAATTTGTTTTTCCACCTACCATTTGATATTTGGGTTATACTTGAAGGAAGTTGGGGTCATTTCAAGTACAGCTAATGAAAACATTCTTGTATACATCGTGGGGAAAAAAAGACAAATGATGGAGAAGGAAGAGTGAGTGAATTTATTTTATTTTTGACCTTTATTAATACATATGTATAGTACATACTGATTGCATTCACTGTAGGGATTGGTACCTGCACATAACGCATTTTAATTCCGGAGGGAATAAATCTAAAGGTCCTGATATGGGTGGGGCCCTGCTCATCTCTACATGTTGGAGACCTGGCATGAAGTTCATTCTTAATTGCTCCCCAACACCCCTGACTACCTATTGGCTCCATCTTGGACAGTGCCACCAATTCTAATAGTAGTAAGGAGGAAAATAGGAAAGGGTAAATTTTTCATTTATTTCAAAGCAAAATTATGATATTTGATGCACTTAAATGTGTAATATGTTGTGTTAGCTTTCCACCATTATAACAAACACCCGGGCTAATCAACTTACAAAGAGAAAAGGCTTATTTTGGATCACAGTGTTGGAGGTTTCAATCCATGATCAATTGGCTGTACTGCTTATAGGTTTTTGGCAAAGCAGCACAGTTTTTTTTAATATGTTTAATTTTGTTATACATAATGATCACATTCATCCTAGGGAATTTGTTCCTGTAACTAATATATCTTGATTTTTCTTTTTTCCCCCATCCCCTGCCCTCCCTTCAATCCATCTTTGCCTCCTTATTTACAAAAGCTTTGTTCCCATTTTTCCTTGTATTCTTTTTTCCCTTCCCTTCCCTTTCCTTTCCTTCTTTCCCTCCTCCCTTGTTCGCCTTTCCATTTGAACATGTTCTTCCTACTTCCCAATATTTATTATATATTTTGATCCTTAATGTGATATTTAAATGTGTGTCCAATTTAGTTCACTTAAAAGTGTGACCTCAAGGTGTAACCATTTACCTAAAAATGTCTCAAGTTTATCCTTCTTTATGGTGGAATATCACTCCATTGTATATAAAAACTACAGTTTCTTTATCCATTCATCCATTGCTGGGCATCTGGGCTGTTCCAAGATTTAGCTATTACAAATTATTCTGCTCTAAACATGGGTGGGTACTCATACATAGCTGGGGTATAACAGTATAGCAGTTATAATGTGGCAAAGAGACACCATCCACCTTACAGCTGGAAAGTGTAAAAGCGGAGGAGACCTGTTCAGAGTCTCCTGTAGACCACACAGCCTCAGGGTGTGAAGACCTGTCACTAGACCTCGCCTCCTCATGGTTCCACCAGCTTCACCTGTGCCGCTGGGAGGAGACTAGGCCTTTAATATGGGCTCCTAGGGGACATTTACTCCAACCATAACACATAACAGTGTTATCAGTTTGGCCTTGATACAGGGAGACTGTTAATTCATGTCATTTATGTATACCTTTTCTAAAGTTAGGGAAGTAGATGTAGATTGATCAAATTCAGAGTAATTTGATAATCATTATCCTTTACCTTCCAGCATTTAGCACTTTTACTGCTTTCTGCTTTCCTTGACTTTCTGTGGTGTTTAATAACACACTGAAAGGGATTTATCCTGCTGTTGCCATACTGAGAAAGACCACAGCATACCTCCCTGAAGATGACACACATCTCTCCCCACACCTCGAGTCTGTAGAAGTATGAGACTGGAGAGAGAAGGGAGGAGAGAATCTCTGTGTTGAGGTTACTGTAGCACTGCTGCCCTCACAGAGCCAGATGAGAGAGCTCCAGTGGAAAGGTGGGTGGAGACTGGAGGTGCCATGAGGGGACAAATGTCTTTATCATTATGCCCAAAGTGTACCTGGAAATGTAAAGGAAAGCAGACATATGGCAAACAGGGAGACATTACTGTATTCTGACATTCTGTGTGATAGCAAGAGAAAGGTGAAAATACAGAGGGACATGAATCACCGTGCCACTGCCCACTCAAGAAAACTGATCTGGTTGTCTGGAGCCAGAATGCCCACATCCTGGAAGAGGGAGTGTCAGTTTAAATCTGTTCCAGGTGGAGCCATAGCGTGAGAGCCGAAGATCTGATGGATAAAAGTGTGGAACATGGACCCAGGCTTAAATCGCAACACTGCTAATTACATAGCCATGGGGAAGTCTTTATTCTCAGGACAGTTTAAGCTGTGTGCATATGTATGTATGGAAAAATCCCTTGTTTTGGTGTTTATTCAGTTGGTAGGTTCTATATATATACAAACACAGAGTAACACACACACACACACACACACACACACATCTGTATTTGTTTTTAATACTTCTTTTTCAGTCTCCAAAGACTGGGTCACCAGTAGTAAGCCTAGTGTGACTGAAACGACGGTCATTCTTTTTCTCTTGCTTTCCTTTCCTGCACGGAGGCCCATCATTCCCCACCATTCCTTTTAGCCAATGAATGTGATTTCTCAGGAAAATGAAAAAAAGTAGTCAGAAGTCCAAAGTTTACTTCAGAATAGAAGAATACTTTTTATTATTCTGACACTGGTTGGGATAGCATAAAGGGCTCCTAAAAACTCAGTAAGCATCGGCTGATAGGTTTGCTCTAATCCTGGAGAATGGAGCACAGTCTTTCATAATTATCAGTCAGCCACTGTGTGAATGACTGGGAAAGGGCCAAGGAGTAAGAGGGTGCTGTTTAACTGCTGGGGGAAACATCAGGTGAGTAACAGGATTTAAATTTAAGTTGTTTAACTCATTAGAAACAGGTTAGTGGAGTAGGGAGGGCCCCACAGGAGAGATAAGTTGTGCATTGCAGGTTCATTGCCTTGGCTCTCCATCTTCCAGTCACTGATTCTTGCTGGATCCTTCAAGAACTCCTGTCCAGCTTCCTAATGTAGTCCTGGACCCAGTGGTCACTGGGGTTGGCGCAGATATACTTTCTAGTTTTGGTCAGAAATCTATGAAGAGGGCAAAAATATATAGACAGTGAGTGAGATATCTTCATCACCTGTGACCCCTTCTATTTTATGCCTAGGGACAGCTCAAGACAAATCAGTTTTGTCAAGAAATCATCCCATCTCAGGTATCAGGTCTCCCAGGCCTTCCCCAGTGATTTGTGGAGATGCCCACTAGCCACTTAATTCCTGTTGTTTCATTCCCTCCTCTCTTCCCTCTATTTCCTGGCAGATCCTCCTTGGCTCCTTGCAGGCCCCAGGCAATGTCAAGAAATAGCCCTGCAGCCTCATGTGTCCTTTATCCACAAAAGGTCTGCAAAGGGCTTCTTCTCAAGCACCTGCACACTTGTGAGCTGCTTCCTCATGTACTCCTGCAGGCACCTGCCTCCCCATTCTCTGTCTCCCAGGGGTAAGGAAAAGAACTGGCACTTACATAACACCGTGTTTGATGCACAGGCCATTGGTCTTATATAGGCTACCACTTGATTCTTGGGGATCTGATGGGTGACGAAGGAAATGCAGCAGTCAGACGGGTGATGAGTCTTATCTGAGTGTAAGAACAAGGATTACAGGAGTTGCTCAAAAAGGCAAGCTGGAGAGGCCAGGGAGAGGCAGTGAGTCAGCATAGCTCAGAGGCATGGGAGAAAGACAACTAGAAGTAATTTGGCTCTTTGATTATTATTAATTTCCTTAGTCTTGTCCTTGGTTTTTGTCTCCATTTGGGTCTTTATCTTACTCTGCAGGAAATGAAGCTCTCTATAAAACCTATTCCCTTCGCATGTCTTTGATGGAAATTTCTTTTCCCAGTCTCTTAAATCTTAAGGTATCTGAGAAAAGGAGGAATGTCCCTTTAAGTTACCCAAGAGGCTGACTTCTTAGGGACTATTGAGGCAATTCTAAAACTTACCAGCAGCAATGGGAACTAAATACATACATCTGGATTCCACCATACAGTAATGGTCCAGTGAATCAGACTTCAAAGTTCTACTCTAAAAAGGAGGATCACACCTTCCTCAATTCTCATCCTTCTGGCCCTAAAGATAGACTCCCTCAGCACAACCGTATGATACCAAAGGTTGGTTCAGTACTTCCTCGGCTCATATGGTAGCTCTCAGACCTCAACACTTGGACAACAGGGTCTCCTCCTTGCCAGCAAGCAGCAGTTAAAGGAAATGGGACAACAGACTCACCTTGTTCACAGGAGCAGAGCATCATTGTGCAGAGGAGGACCAAGAGGCCAACCACGAGGGTCTTCATGATGCTGGACAGGCAGAGCAGTGTGTACAGGGCTGAGATGGGGCTTTGAGATCACAACCGCTAGCTGCCTTCTAAGATCTGAGCTGTGCAGCCCCAGGCCATGAGGACACAGAAATTACTGATGAGTAAGGCAAGAAACCTTAAACTCAGTGGTGTCATGTGAGTTGCACATCCCATGGTTGCCTGTGGAAGCTGGAGTTAGGGTTTATACAAGTGTGAGTGAGTGGCTCCTCTGATTGGGATGCAATGGGGAAGCTGGGTCCCCTGACAGATGAACAGGAGTTGGCCTCACCTACAGATTATGCTGAGCTGTTTCCTCTTCACATGACTTACTTCTCTGAAGTCAGTGGTCAGTCATAGAGCAGTGTGCTTTGATGGCCTTTCTAGTGCGTGTGTTCTTGTCCATATAGGCTGACTTCAAACTCCTGAGTGCAAATGTTCATCCTGTCTCAGCCATCTGAGTAGCTTAGACTACAAGGCATGCACCATTACATGGGCTTCACAGTTGTTAATTGTAGCCTAGCATGGCGGCACAACCGTGTCATCCTAGTACTTCGGACGCTGAGGTAGGAGGATCATCATGATGAGGTGGAGGCCAGCCTGCACTACCTAGTGAGTTTAAGCCTAGCTTGAACTACATTAGTGAGACCATCTCTCAAAAAACCAATTATTCTTAATTTTAACACAGACTCACTGACTTATGTGTAGGACTAGGAGTTTTTTTTAATCCAATAAGAAATCATTTCTTTGTCCTAAGGTAATAAAGATGTCTTCCTATGTTAACTTTTGGAGTCTGTTGCTTCAGCATTGATACTTACATTTACAGTCCATCTAGTTGATTTTTATAGTTGTGAAGGATTCAAGATTTGTTTTTTGTCATAATCAGTACCTGTCAATATCAGCAGCATTTTTTATTGGCAAAACCATATTAGGTTGCTTTGGTAAGCTTTGACTAATAAGTTAGGGACCTGGCTCGGGTGATTATGAGGGTTGACATCTTTCTGCGGCTCAGGTCACACCCCTGTCCTTGAATAAGCAACTGTAAAGGATTGGAGTGAGGGCTGGAGATCACCAGAGTCATGCCTGGTGCCTGGTGTCATGCTCTCTGAGTTATACTTTCTGGGGTCTGTTGGATTATCACAAGGTTCAGCATGTACAAGAATTAACCTGATTGCTCACGTTGGGTGGCTAATCGTATGGAAATGTTTTGCCAGTGAGAGGAGGTGAGATATGAAAGCCTTAAGTGCACGGAAAATAGCTATCGATTAAGACTTCCTCCCGCAGAGCAGACCTGCAGTACTGCACTACTGCTTCTCTGACCACAAGAGGTGACGTACGTGGCAATGTCACATTGTCCTGGGTAGCGCAAGTCACACTTCTGCCACAGGTGCGGTGAAAAAGGCCATGACATCATGTAGATTAGTCCTAAGAAAAAACGCTAGTCAATTGTGGGAAATTATGAGTTAGTGACTAGGCTACAGGCATAACAAGAATGGTAAGATCAAACTGTTGTTTTTTTTTTTTTTTTGGTACTGGGATCGAATTCACGACTTCATGTTTGTCAAGCAGGCACCTATGCAGCTGAACTAAACCCCTGGCCCAAGGTCAGACTGTTGATCATGATTTGGTTAATCAAACAGTCACAGTTCCGTACTGTATTCCATTGTTGGTTTCAACACCAGGTGAAGACGTGAATACACATTAAGTACCAGGCATTTGCCTAGATCAGGAGCTCTAGATCCAGGAAGCCCATGGCCAGGAAAAGGTCCTGTGAAAGAAAACTTCACGAAAGAAGTTCTTTTGTATAAAACATTTGATACAGTTTTCTCACGATTAAAAATCAGAACCAGTCCAAATATGCATGATAATATTAATGTACAAAGCCAACAGTTGAGTAAATTAGGCAACTCTTAAAAATACTAGGATGATTTAGAAGAGTCTTTAATGTTAAATACAAGTAGGAGACAAATAAGAGTATAAGTAAGAAGTTCTATCTGTATCTGCACCAAATGTGCCCCCTTCCTCTGAGACACAATAAGTAAAAAAACTGCATAAGCAAATAGAAGCGTCATAAGCCTAGAAAAAAATGCTGTAAACATGAGCATGCATGTATCACTATAATATGAGGTCTGTAATACTTTTGGGAAGATACTCAGAAGATATAACTGGGTCAAACAGAATTTCTATGTTTAGTTTTTTGAGGAATGTCTTCACTGATTTTTGTAATGACTGCTGTAGTTTATAGCACAACTTATGGTAGCTAACTCCTGTAGGTCAGCCTGTAGGTCCATTAACAGGTGACTGCATAAAGAAAATGTGTATGCACACAGTGGAGCTCTTTAGAAGAGTGAATTGAGTCATTTGTAGGAAATGGGTGTACCTTGAGACCACAGTGCTGAGTGACATAAATCAGACTCAGGTTAGATACTGTCTTACATGAGAAACCCTAACATAAAAGACAGGTAACAGGAAAGAGAGGTAGACTCTGTGGAGATGGGAAGGGTATCTGCAGGTGGAGGGAGAAGAGGAAGTAAGAATATTAAGATGCCCTTTGTGTGTGTACTAATTCCCCAAGACAATTGTAATTATTATATATTGCAAACATATACCAATAAGAAAAGGAAAGAAAAATGCACTTGAAATAAACAGAAGTGTTGAATATGGTTAAGTTTGGGTAATAGAAGTTTTCCTGTCTGCAGGAGAAAATTTTTGCTCAGATTATATCTCAGAATTCATAAGTTTGTATATTTTTACCTGCATTTGTCCTGCTGCTTAGTCCACTTCCACATGCTAAGTGAGTTTCTATTTTTGTTTGTAGTGTACATGTTTTATATATAAGTACTGCGCGCTAACTGATTGTGCCACTGGAGCTCTAGTTTGCATATTTTAAAAAATTAGCTTTTACTCCTTTTGTGGAATAATTTATGGCTCGTGATAAAAATAATGCAAACATAATTTGAACATAAAACATTAGTGCTCCTTTAAGATGCTCTCCTGTGCCTGTGGAGAGACTTTGTGAAGGCGAGAAGAGTGATCGCCCTCTTGTGATCTCAAGTGACAGGCCCCAAGAAGAAAACTTAATGAAAGAATGGGGTTAGGGGAGGTGCTTTAGCAAGATAAGTGATTGGGCTGCTCGATGAGCCCAGGGATTGCTCACCCTGACTTTAAATAGGGTAAGAGAGGTGGGCATGATGATGCATGCTTGTAATCCCAGGATTTAGCAGGCTGAGGCAGGAGAATCACAAATTTAAGCGCCCCCCCCCCCTGCATGGCAAGACCCTCTCACAAAAAAAGAAATACAGGAACAATAAGGAAGTGGGTTTTTGAGGAACAAGGACTTTCTTTTACAATTGTTTACTGATTTCTAAGGACTGTTATTACAAGCAGGAAATATACTTTGTTTACTTAGGAACTCCCTGTTAATTGTTACAGATGAGCTGTGAGAAACACTGTTGTGCATTCAACCTTCTTCATCTCTGTGGTCATATTGTAGGGCAGATCCCCAGGAGAGTGCTTTTCTAGTCTAAATATTGTTATTGGTGTCAGTTAACCCAGCTCACCCAGGGATTGGCCTGTGACAGAGGCTCATGGACATCTGAGAATGAACCAGTTTTTTAACCAGCCACCCTCATATCTGCCTCTCCAGTAGCTAAAGCTTCCCCAACCCTGCTGTCTTCATCCAGGGAGACCCTGCTGTCTCTCCCTGGGGTGCCCTGGGGTCTGCAGGGCATCCTCAAGGATCTTCTGTGTGGTAGGAAGAGAGGGGAGGAGGGATCCTTGTTTTGGATCAAGAGTTGTTAGCATTAGAGCCAGCAGCCATGCTACTCTGGCTGGAGAAGTCAGCAGGGGACTCAGCTGTGGGGGAGAAATGCTTTGCCTTCAAGTCTGTGCTGGTGAGAAGGCAGTGGCCAAATTCGCCTCAGAGTGACACCTGGCATCTCGCCTCCTTGCACTGTAGAAACCATTTCCCTATTGAGTAAGCGAGGGACCCATTCTTGCAAATTGCCTGAGCTTTCCTGGTTTATGCACAGCATAACACCAACACCATGGTTAAAGGCCCGCCCCCAAGCTTTCATTTTCTGATGTCCTGGGGCTGCATATAAAGACATGATTTAGACCCCCATAGGAGGCAGCAGCTGCATGTCCTCAGGTCGCAGCTGTCCTTGGCCACCACTTGAGTTCACTCATCCTCTGCTGCCCAGTGACATGGAGGCCCCTGTGGCTGCCCTCATTACCCTGATCCTCACTGAGACCCTCTTCTCGCAGTCCTGCTGTGCCTTACGTGAGTCTGTCTTTTGCTCTTGGGTTCCGCCTCTCTGAACCTGTGTCTCAGTCTATGACTGAGACTTCCACACAGGGAGCTCTAGAAGGATTCTGAGGCCGCTTCCCAGAGGATTTTCCTTCCTAAGGGGTTTAGGAATTCTGTTCAGTTCTGGGAAATAGAGAAGGAGAGAGCCTCTTTTCATGGATGAGAAAATGCAGGTGCACCTGGGATTTGTAAGAAGTAGGATCTGGATCTAGCTGATTGGTTTGTTTGTTTGTTTCTCTCTCTCTCTCTCTCTCTCTCTCTCTCTCTCTCTCTCTCTCTCTCTCTCATCTGAACAGTCACTTCAGATCTTCTTGTCTTGTCTGTTGTAGGGGGTGCAGACACCCCGACTGCCTGCTGCTTCTTCTTTATCTCCCGGAAGATCCCGCGCAAATTTGTGGTGGACTATTATGAGACGAGCAGCCAGTGCCCCAAGGCAGCGGTCATGTAAGGGCTGGTCCCCTCCTCCCCCCACACCTGGGGAGGGAGGGCGGCTGGGCTGAGGGGAAGCGGCTCAGAGTCTTCCACTTCCTTAAGACCCATACTAGCAGGAGTCTAGGGGAGACCCTGGGGTGTTTTCTGACCTACCCTGGGGTCTGCAGGGAGTCCTGAAGGACCTTCTTCTGCGTGGTAGGAATACAGGGGAGGAGGGACAGCAGGAAGCTGCCTTTCTGAGGGAGCCACTTGGGGGATCTGTGAACTTCAAGGTTGGGGGCCCTGAAATGTCTGGGCAGAAAAGGATGCAGAGGCCCCAGGATTTCCTGGTTGGAGACCTTAGCTGTTGCCTCCTTTCCCTTCTTCTACAGCTTCCAAACCAAGAGAGGCCGGGAGGTCTGTGCTGACCTCAGAGACACCTGGGTCCATGAATACATCGCCGACCTGGAGCTGAACTCCTGAGCGCCCTGGAGGCTATGAGGAGGTCTCACATCTGTGGGCAAACACCTGAGGCTAGGGTGTGACCCTGCAGTTCTGGAGGCCACCTCTTCTGTGGGTCTCACCCCAATCCCAGCAACACTCTGAGACCCTCTTAACAATCACTTTATTTATCTTGTTAGATTTTGTAGTGTTTTCATTTCCTCTGACTTCTCACAGTAGCCTTACTGATGTCTTTCCCCCTTGTTCTGCAGTGGTTCTCCCAATTCATATGTAAATCAGTGACTGTGATCAGCCATCTCCAGAAACACTGTAGTATGTTTCACACAGCAAATGCTTATTGAATGGTTTTGCTCAGCATTGCTTCTGAAATATGAAAGACTACTTACATGAAAGGTCAACCAGCATTGTCCTTGCATTGAGTCTGTTGATTTTTGTTTTCCAAACTAAGACTTTGCAGTTGATAAGAATACTGGAAGAAGGGTAGAGGCAAATGAAAAGAGGCAGGAGCCACAAGAACAGGGCAGAGCACCACTGCAGCCATACCAGGTGTTTCCCTGGGGACACTTTCCGGAACTGTGGAAACTGACACCCATCGTTTTACAACTGGATCATAGCACACATAGTCTAGAAAAAATTTCTGCTTAAATAAGATGATGCAGATTTCTCTACATAGACTGCTTTTCGTAAAGCTTTCCTAAAGTGATGGCTAACATTTGTTGAGGGCATTATCAACTGCTGGGATCTGTGTTAAGTAGTTGCTTATTTTAGCAAGAGTCTGGCAAACCCTGCCAGTGACCCAACCAAGAAGACATCCAGTCTTGCAGTCAGCTGATATCCTTAGTCAGGTTCTCTGCCATTCGCAGTTCTGCTTTTGAGGGAATATTATTCACTTCCACTTCTGGGTGAGTCTCAGAGGCCCCAGTGACCAGAGTTAGCAAACAAAAACAGAGAATAAAAGGCAGATGTGGTGATGTATGTCTGTAATGCCAGCAATTCAGGAGACAGAGGCAGGAGGACCACAAGTTTGAGGCTAGTCTGGACAATTTAGCAAGTATGTGTCTCAAAGGCTAGGGATGTAGCTTAGTGGTAGAGTGCTTTCCCACCATGTGCAAGGCCATGAGCTCAATCTCTAGCATTGCCAAATAATAATTACTAAAAGAGTTTGTCCTATTTAATATTTGACATATATTACAAAATTGTGACTAATCTGAAATTTGAATCTAACTGGGTGTCCTGTATTGCATCTGGCAGTTTTCAGAGTGAATACTTCTTATGGAGGTGTCTTTTTTCCTGTGTAAAATGGTACCTAGGATTAGCTTAAGTGTGTAACAGTTTTTCTCAACCTTGAATTCACAGTACTCCAGTGCCAAGGCCTCATCTCTAAAGTCACAGATTTAATTAGAGTTAGGCAAGACCTCACATCAGTAATTTAAAAACTCCCTAGATGATGGTAATGCAAACCAGGTTCAAGCCACTGGTGTGCAACCTAGGCCGTTTTTACACAGCCTTGGACTCCTCATTTTTGAAGGCTTCAGAGCTGGTTGTTTTTGGTTCCTTAAAATTGTTAATTAGAAACAGAAGATCTGTCAGACACAACATCATATCTGGGATGGTCGGGACCCTGTCCTCCCCCAGCACAGAGCTGGGAGTCCCTGTTCTTTCTACCCTGCACACTTCCCACTTTATTGACGTCTATCCCTACATCGCCCTCTGCTGGTGGAACAATGCTGCAGCCATGGAGGCCACTGCAGTTGGCTTCCTGCTTCTGATGCATCCCCGCTGCCCCTTTACAGAGAACATGAGTCTTCACTGTTGCGGTCTGTTTCATGTTTCACCTTCATTGGGCTGAGCATTGCCTAGGTAGCCGTTAAAGAATTATCTCTGGGTGGGTCTGTGAGGTCTTTCCAGAAGAGATCAACATTTAAATCAGAAGACACCAGTGAAGTTCTGTCCCTAGTGTCATCCAGTTGATTTAGGACCCAGGGAGAGCAAAGAGAAGAAGGAAGGGCAAATCCATGTTCTTGCTTTGAGCTGTGGCGTACATCGTCTTTTGTCACTGGACACTGGCTTTGCTGGTCCTTGGGCCTTCCGAGATTTGCACCGTCATCTCCTGCTTCCCCTTCTAAGTGTTATGAACTTGAACTGGGACTTCACTCTCAGCTCTGGTTCTCAGGCCTTTGGACTCAGATTTTGGACTGAATTATACCACCAACTGTTCCTTGATGCAGGCTTCCATAATTGTGTCAGCCAGTCTCTTTGTATTCTGTATGCATCAGTACATATCTACATACCTATGTCAAAGGTATTTAGAGAGAAGAGAGACTTGTTTTGTTTTTCTGTAGAACCCTGAGTAATATATTCACTTACCACCAAGATGAGTATTAAATAGAAATCGGAGGAGATGAAACTGATTGTAGACTCAGCTTCTGTGTCCTGCCTTATCTTTCCCCTGTGCATTTCTGCATGAACTTATTTTGTGGGAAACTCTGCTTTTCTAGGCCAGTAAGCTTCAGATTCTCAGTCAGCTTCATTTGTAGGCAAGAAGCAGAAAGGATGTTTCTTAAGAAAACTGTTATCTTTCTTTCTCTGCTATTAGGCAAATCAATTTAAAAGTAAGCCTTTTTTTTTAGTTGGTTGGCCTTACTAGAGCTGGGAATTTAAGCTCAGTGGCTCAAACACTTACCTCCTAAAAAAGGTAGTAAGTTTGATCCCCAGGACCAAAAAAAAAAAATTATAGTTGGCCTTACTGACTGATGCAAGAAGCAAAGGACCTCTAATATTCTGAATTTTTTCTTTTTGGTGAAACCTTGGAAGGAAGACAGCCTTAAAATATATAGCAGGCCATAGGGATTACCAACTGTTTTGCTGTTTCGAGGTGTCTTCAGGATCCTGCCCTCAGCCACTTGTACTTTTTGAGGTCTGTTACCTCCAACACTGTGGTCTGTGTTAGCCAAGGATGTTTTATGTCAAAGTCAGAAAAACTGACTCAGTCGGGAGCCAAGGATGTTTTATGTCAAAGTCAGAAAAACTGACTCAGTCGGGCATAAATGATAGAACTTGAGCTCACACAGCCACAGCTTCAAGCAGTATAGTCAGCTTCAGGTGAAATTACCCCTTGGGCCTTACAAGGTCCTTTCAGAGCTTTCAATCATTCTGACAGCCCAGTGCAGCACATGTGCTGTGGGTGTACCACCACTGGCATAGAATTCCTGGTCTTCCCATTGGAAAGCTGAATGATAAGACTGACTGCTTTTCTTAGAGCATTGTTTCCTTGTGTCTTGAATCAAGCTCCTGGGCCCAGTGTTACTGGTCTAGCTTAGGTTAGGAGCTTATCTCTTAATCCAGGAGTCAGCAGGGCAGACTGTATTTGGCTCATCACCTGTGTTTATGTGGCCTGCAAGGTAAGAAGATTTTACATTTTGTAAATAATTGAAAACAATCAAGAATATTTTGAGATATAGGAATACTGCATAAAATTCAAAGTTTAGTGTTGATAAAAATATTTCATTGGACCACAGGCAGAATCGTGTGTTTATATATTATCTATGGATATTTTCACACCATAATAGTAGAGTTGTGTTTTTGTGACAGGGGTATATGACCCAAAAATCCTATACTAGTAACTATTGGCCCTTTATGGATTTTGCCAACCTCTTATCTTAACCAACCCATGTAACTGGGGAAATGGATTCATTGATTTATTTGAGCTGTTCAGTATCTGTAGTAGGCAGTGGTAATAAACTCACAGAGACACAAACCACAAAAGGGTATGGTTTTCCAAAAGATCACCTAAGAACAAAGGGGAAAAACAAAAAGAACCGAGGATCAGACAAATATCTACCAAGAGTGTTCAAGTTTCTTATATTTTGTCTATGTGAAATCTACTGATCATTTTGTGATTTATATCTCACCATTATGGTTTCCTCCCCAAACTGAAGGTTTAGTCTAGATGATCTTCTCATGTGGCAGTCAGTGTCTTAGAGATTTCCTGACTTTATTCAGTTTTTTTTTTTTTTTTTTTTTTTAAGACAGGATCTTGCTATGTAATTGAGGCTGGCCTTGAACTCACCATGAAGCCCAGGCATTTGCTGAACTCATGGCGTCCTCTTGCCTCAGCTGCTGGGATTACAGACATGTACCACCATGCCTGACTCTTTTCTATTTTTATAACAATAATAAGCCCATTCTATTCCATGCCGCCCTGGAAAACGTTTTTGTTTGTGGAAGGATTTAGAGAGGGATATACCCTGTTGCTCTGTACATGATGTCTAGTTCCTGAGTCAAAGGCTGAATTGTCATGAATGACTTTGCCTGCTGAACTCACCCACTAACAGCTAGGACCATTGAGTCTTCCCAGGATGGAGCAGACAGGTAAAGGACACAGTGGGCAGCCCAGTGGGTTCATTACTTCAATTCCACTTGAAACTCAAATGACGGGGGTCTTAAGAGAGTAATCTATAAAAATGAGTATTCTGCAAGCAGGGTAACTCGTTTTCCTTTTAGATGTCTGCTTGCAGAGCAAACTCATTGATTCACCTAAGCCGAGCTAATCAGTGGGGCAGAAAACAGGAGACAGGAGGCAAGGCAGAGGAAGGGAGTGTTGGAGTTCACTTCCACCACCCGGAGTGATGTTAGCCAGTTGATTCAGCACAGCTGGGCTTGGCCCTTCTTTCAAGTGTCACTTCAAACCTGCTGGGGGAACAATGTATTCCAAATCTGGCAAAGACTCAGTTTATACTGAATGGAGCATAATTGTTAATATTGTATCCTTTAACTTTCAAAATACCCATCCTGCACTCTAAGAGGCTAAGGCAGGAAGAATGCAAGTTTTGGCTGGGCAACTGACTTAGCAAGATCCTAACCCAAACTTTAAAAAACACTAAAAATTTAAGTCCTGCTTATCCTACCAATAGGAAGTACACAGAGCTGTGAGATGATCTCAGGGTTGCTGACCACAAAGATCTCTGGATAGGTGGGTAAGACAGGAGTGAGGTTACCTCCCTTATGTGTAAATCTCAACATAGGGCTGAAAGCACTCCAAGAGAATGCCTTTAAAACAGTGCTCAAGGATCTCCCAAGTAGCAGAGGCCCTGGTTTGAGCTGTGGGAGAGGTGAAAAATGTTGGAGAAGAGCAGGGTCTCACTTGAATACAGTAATTCTACCTTAAAATGCAGATATTTTCCCTGTCACTCCACATCCAGGGAACCGTTCATCTGAGTTTGTATGGGTAGTGGTATCATACCTGTTGACTCTGCACCTTCTTAGTAAAGAATCTAAACTTGGTGTCATGATAGGCATAGATTTTATTGTCTAGTTCCATTTAAATTCCTAAAGACATACCCAGACAGCTCCTGTAGCACTCTCTCTGCTCCTGTGATGTTTTTCTAAGTGCATTTCTTTTATGGTCTCCCTGTCAACCTTTGTGTTGACCTTTGTGTCAGAAAATATCCCTTACCTACTTCTCTAACAAGCAAACATTTACTCATGTTTTAATACTCAGCTCAAATTTCAGTTCCACTAGAAATCTTGTTTTCCCATAGGGAGTAAGTTATTTCGTTTATTACTTTTCTATTGCAGTCTTGGACATATTTCTAATTGCTAATGGTTGTTTTTTATTTATAGGTGTTTACTGTATTACAGGATCTTTGATGGCAAAAATATATTGTTTTTAAGAACAGAGTCCAGTATTTTCCAGATACCCATGTATAGCAATAATAGAATAAATGATGCATGGGAGAAAAAGAAGATAAAAGGAGAAAGAAAATAAGAAACATAAAGCATCCTACAAGGGGGAAGCAAGATCTGAGCATAGGAGACGATTTTTATAGATGTAAAATCTGTCCAGTTCTAATCACAGATGACTGCTAAGGCATGGTTCATGAAATATTTATCTATTCCTCTCTAGGAATCATAAGGGGAGTTCACTGTTTCATCTACTGCTTGATAACTAATAAAATACATCTCATTTATTTGACATGTATAAAAAGCAACTAATTTCAGTTCAAATGCAAAACATGAAGAATGCTCAAATACATTATTTTGAAAGCTAACTTGATTAAATAACATCTTTTAAGTAAGATATTTCCAGGAACCAGAATTATATACACTAGAATTGGATTTCTATAAGATAGTTGCTGGAAGCAAAAATGCTTTTATTCTAGGGTCATGTTTAAACCAATTATGAAATGTTTTTGGAAGTTAATTTTTCCTGGTTTGATTTGAATATGGTTTATTCATTTTGAAACTTCAAGCTTAGACTGTATTGTGAAATATAAGAGGGAAGAAATTTAATATGACAGTTGTGTTTAAAAGAGGGCTGTTTGGGACTGGGCGCAGTGGCACATGCCTGTAAATCCCAGAACTTGGGAAGCTGAGGAGGGAGGCTGAGGCAGGAAGATCACCGTGAGTTTGAGGCCAGTCTGGGCTACATAGTGAACTCAAGGCCAGCCTAAACTACACAGCAAGAGCCTGTCTTGCCAAAAAAAAAAAAAAAAAGGGGGGGGGGGATGTGATTAGGATTTAGTTGGGTAAGTTAATTAGAATGGGTTCCATAATTGACTACTCATGGTTTTATAAGAAGATAGAAGCCAGGGAAGATATATATGTACACACTGTCTCTTGTGATATAAAGTCGTGTGTTGCCTTAGGACTTTGCCAGCAAGAATCCATCACAGCATGCAGACCCTTGGCTTTGGGCCAGAATGGTGAACTCAAATAAACTTGCTGTATTTCTTGTTTATCCTGTGTATGCTTTTGTGTTATTTAGCAACACAGAACAGACCACATTTACTTGGATGATTTCAAGATTTTTAACTTCAGTCTCAGGTTCAAAAGCTTCTTACCAAATATTATTGTTAAAAAATCTTTGTGCTACTAATTCAGGGGAAAACTTTTGAATATTCCAGAGGACAACTGAATTGATTGTGCCTATCTTGCCTGCTATGGAAAACCAATAATCAAAAGAGAATGATTGAGGAATCCCTCAGTAGCCTGATAGAACCTGCTTACCCTCTCATCAGTAGCTCTGAGGATGCCCCACTTTAAGGCTGGGTGTCCAGGTTTTGTTCCAGGGAGCAGGCTAGTGTGAGTGTAATGGAACGCTACTTAATCTCCCAAAGTCAGTAATATTCTCAAAAGTAATGCTCAATTAAAGTAAGCTTTATAAAATTCAATCCTAGTAAAGTTGTAAAAGACATACCTCATTTTGTGTTTCTTATTTTGATAAACGGCATCATTTTCCAGAGAGTGAGCCAAGTCAGAATGTAAAGTCCTCCCTGTTTCTAGATTCCTCCCTGTTACATTGATTCTCATTGTAATTACATCTTCATTCCCTATACTCAATGCCTATGCATTTTTACTTTTACCTTGCTTAATTCCCAAATTGATATATTTTTGCTTTTTTGCAGACCTATCCTCTGTGTGTGATTTGAAGGCATCCTAACTTTAATGGGTCAAATACCAACCTATTCCTATATACTTCACATGTGCCTCTTTCAGGTTTTTCTATCTTATTAAATTACAACTCTGTTTTTCCATTCTGTCAGTTAAAAATACTCTTGTATCAAAGGCATGACTGCATCATATATGACTGACTTTCAATGTGCCCATCATTATCCACCTTTTTTTTCTACCTTGTCACTGATAGCCAGTGTCCTGTGCAACCCACAATTGTTACCTAATTTGTTGCAGTAGCACTTAAACTCTTCTGTTTTGAAGCTTGACTCAGTGCAATCTATTTTCCTAAAGGTATGTGGAAAATTCTTTCTTTCTTGTTTCTCTTTCCTCCTCCACCTCCTTTTTCTCCTACTTCTCTCTCTCTCTCCCTCTCCCTCCCTCTCTCCCTCTCTCTCTTTTTCTCGTGACAAGGTGTCACTGTGTAGTTCAGACTGTCTTGAACTCATTATGTAGCCCAGGCTGGCTTCAGACTTATGGGCATCCTTTTTCCTCCGCCTCCAGTGCTACAACTTGTAAACAATTCTCTATCAACATAGCTCTGATCATACCACTCTCTGCTTTGATTTTCAAGGGTTTTTCATATCACTAAACCCTTGGCAGGGCTGACAAGTAGCTGTGCTCTTTTCTTGCTGCTGTTCTGAACTAGTCTCCTGATATTTCCCCCTAACTATATTCATTTCAGCCTTTTTGGCTTCTTTGCAAGTCCTTGTACATGCTGCATGTACTCTTGACTTTGCATTTTGTATCCCTGCAGCCTAGCACATTCTCCCCACACGTAGCCGTTTACTCAGGTCATCGCATCCTTTTCATCTACAAACAAGCATCCTTTCATCAGAAGTTCTCTCTCCATCTTTCTAAAGATGAATTCGCCATCTCTCTCGTTTTTAGGAGGAGCAGGATGTTGGTGTTCTTCATTCTGCGCCCAGCTGCTTGCTGCCAAGGCTAAGTCTCAGGCACGTGGACGAGCGGTGCAGGCTGCATGTGTCTGGTCATTGCGATGTGGACGTGCGTGGGTGCCGAGAACCTGGGGCCTGCTTGCCCTGGACCTGGCGCTCAGGGCGCCATGGGTAGACAGGTGTGGACCTCGTGCTGCCTTTTCTGCCTCCAGTGAGCGCTCAGCTCTCACAGAGAAGCTTGCCAGTCTTCCCATCAACAAACAGTTCCAGAGTGATTTTGCCTAAAAATTGTAAAATTGCAAATTATATCTGAAAGCTGTTTCAGTGTGTTCTCTAAATTATTGAATCTAATGTTCAGCAGTAAATTCTAAAATAAAATCTTATGACCTAATTCCTGTCTTACTCAACACATCATTTTAAAGATTTTTGAGACATTCCATGCTATTTTGTAATGTGTTTTTGCATATGTATTTTTCTTTGAATATTTTTCTTTTTCACTTTTACCTTGCAAATGTATCTCTTGACCATAATGTTTTCTTTGATGAATTTTCTTTTTCTTTGAAGGGATCTCTTATTCTCTGCCTGGATTGATTGCTTCCTATAATAGAACCTGTGATATATTAATTCCCAATATTGCATGCTACAGCATAATTATTTTTAAACAGAAATACAAAATTACTTATCACATAAAAATAATAAATTATGAAAGTCTTGCATCTGGAATAAATGAGCTAATGGTTACATTTTTAAATTAAAGAAAAATAAAATTTAGTTGGGGATTTAGCTCAGCAGCTTAAGTGCTTGCCTGGTAAACACAAGATGGTGAGTTTGATCCCCGGTGCAAAAACCAAATCAAAACAAAACAACAAAACAAACAACCCCGAAAGCCCCCAAACAGAAAATTACTTATCACATAAAAATAATAAATTATGAAAGTCTTGCATCTGGAATAAATGAGCTAATGGTTACATTTTTAAATTAAAGAAAAATAAAATTTAGTTGGGGATTTAGCTCAGCAGCTTAAGTGCTTGCCTGGTAAACACAAGATGGTGAGTTTGATCCCCGGTGCAAAAACCAAATCAAAACAAAACAACAAAACAAACAACCCCGAAAGCCCCCAAACAGAAAAATCTTAAATTTAAATAGTATTTGCAATTACTCATGGTTTCCAGAATAGTAGCATAAAATATTTTATCATTGTACCTTAGCATATCATAATACTTCACATTATTTGGTAGAATTCAGATTAAAATCATTATATGAATAGATAAACTATTTAAATATTATACATATCCATGCTGTTTATTTCCAATCAACAACATTTTGTGGTCATGAAAATATCATCATGAGGAATCATATGTTTATTTCCTATGACAAAAAGATATTTCTGAGCCAGAGAATCTGTGGTTTTGAAAATGAGGTAATTGAGAAACAAACTAAACTTTTCCATTGCTCTTATTTTTCTTTTATTTTAGAATAAAAGCAAGCAAAATAAAGCCAGTCAAAACAAGACAGTGAAAGTGTCCCAGGATTTCACATCAAGATAATAGGAAATCAACAGCAGTTGCCACAGTGACTCTTGTCTTCAAAACAGCTGCCCAAACCATCAGACAGTAAAATTAAAAAAAAAAACAAAAAACAAAAAACAGAAACAGAATAGAAGCAATAAAAAGAAAATAACAAATGCAATCCATGTCTTCAAAACCAGGTAATAGTGAATCTAAATGGCTACCATAATATATCTTGTTCACTGTTCTTATTTTTAGTGGGACAACCATGGCAATGCCCAACGCTTCTCATTCCTTAGTGGCACCTGGTCTAAGGAAAGTAACTGGTGGGTCTCGTCCTTCAGCTGTGCCTTTGGACTCAGCAGCATTCACGTCACCAGCGCTTTTCCCAGGCTGTTACAGGTCTGACTGGATGCATGAAGCTCCTGCAGCCCGGCCACGTCTCTACAGTGCTGAGCTCTGCTGGGTGCCCGTTGGTCTGGGGCTCCTACTGCTCTGCAGTCAGAGGCTCTCACTACATAATCCTGCATTTTCCCTCTTCACACATCTCAGACCCACATTGCTGTGCGAAGGTGTCTCCTCCTTACTCCTGCTTCTACTACTTATTCTTCCTAAGTGTTTGCCCAGGAGGTCTCTTTCATGCAGAATTCCATTTTGGTATCTAAAACTCAGGAGATCCATATCTTCTGTGTTACATCTGGGGTTTGTTTTTGATCTTTATTTTGTTTACATCAATCTATATAGAAATGTTACTCATTTTAAAACTCAAAAAGTTTTCACCATCAGCATGACAGTGAGGGAGCTCTGCAGACCTGCATAGAATCTCTTGTGCATGTATTTCCTGTATAGAAGATTTAAAAGTCTCTGTGCTGCACTGCTTTATGCCAAATTCCTCTTCTTTCAAGGTAAATGCATTCAAAAAGTTTAATACTATGCTTGTACAACCACCTTCACCTTTTTTATGTAATATATTATTTTTGTCTCCTGTTCCTATTTGTTTTCCATAGCGATCTATGCCTATTTTGTCTCATATATCTCCATCCTTTAGGATCTTATCACATCGATATTTGTATTGATTAGCTTTGCTGTTTTGGATACCTCAAACCTGCACCTTAGAGTTGGGAATGGTTTATTTGTCTAATGTTTCAGCCTGTGCTGAGCTAGTTCCAGGGCAGAAACCTAATAGCAGAAGTAGCTCATGGTGGAGCAGAATTGCTCCCTTCATGGCTGGCAGAAAGCAGAGCACAGTGGAGGAGCACCAGGGAGAAAACACCCTCCAGTGTCCTGTCCCCAGTGACTCACCACGTCCACCTGGGTCCAGCCTCCTAACAGCTCATTCAGCTATGAACATCAGTGGACCATCTCCTTACTGATGAATAAGTGCCCGTGCTCCAGTTGCCTTCCCAGGAGACTCCTAATACAGCCGGTTGACAGTTAAGAGGGACTGTCAACTACACTATTCAGTAGTTCATGGACTGTGTAAACATTACTCAGTTGAGCGATGTGATGTGTCTTGGTTAAATTGCTTTCTTTCTAGTTTGCTTGTTTAGCTTTCTGTGGACTTGACTCTCCACTATTGCTGTCTGCATACTTCTGTATAGACCATGTAGACATTGTCTTTCAAAAGAGTGTACACTGTTAAGACATTTAAACTCTTTAGGTCATCTATTAATTTCATCTTGTGTACTTGATGCTATCTCTTATAACTTTATATATCTTTAAATTTTGAGGAAAATTATGAAATTTAAAATTTTGAGAGATTTTCCTTTTATCATTTAAGTTTTACAAGAGATTTCTTTTTGGTTTTTGAATATTCTTTAATGTTTTTGGTGCTGGGGGATCAACCAAGTGCTTATGCATGTCAAAGAAATACTCTACCATTAAACAAGTGCTCTTCCAGTCCCTGAATATTCCTTTTGTCACTTAGCTCTTCCTGTATCATTAATGTGGGATCCTCATTTACATCAAGGGTGATCAAAATATACAATTAATGTTTTTTGTCTTTTTTGAGATAGGGTCTCACTATGCAGTTCAGGCTGGCCTTGAGCTCATGTTGTAGCCCAGGCTGGTCTTGAACTCATAATGATCCTCCTGCCTCACCCTCCTGAGTGCTGAAATTACAGGCATGAGCCATCACGCCCAGCTTATATGATGTAAAGAAGATACATTAATCTCCCTCAAAATACTTCCTCTCACTTCACTCACACTTGTTCCATCGTTCTTCCCATTTTCTTTTTCAGTTTTTATTTTCATTGGTACATGTGTGGTGCACAGTGATCACATTCATTATGCAGAGATGGCAGTATATATAACGCATCATGGTTCTTTTTGACATCCTTCCCTTTCTTCACTTCAGTCTTTGTCCTTTCCCTTTTGGTAAACCATCTCTTTGTCCCCTATTATTTTTTATCTTGCTATTTTCCTATCTTTTATTTTGCTATTTAATTTTTTATATTTTGAGTTTCTCGTAGAAGAGAAATCCTATGATATTTAAGCTTCTGTGTTTGCTTCCACTTATTAGTTTGTCTCCAGGTGTAACCCTGTTCCTCCAAATGCTTTAAGTGTGTTGTTTATGGTGGAGCAATCCTCCACTGTTGTATAAAATCTGCCTTTTCTTTATCCATTCATGGGCTGCTGGAGGTATGGGTCACTGCAAAGATTAGCTATTGCAAAATGTGTTGCTATATATATAGGTATTTATATGTCACTGTAATATGAAGGCTTTATTTCTTTCAGGAAGATACTTAGAAGGAAAATAACTGGATCCAATTTCTGTTTATAATTTCAGTAATCTCCACACTGATTTTCGTAGTGGTTGTACTAGGTTACATTCTGACTACCAGTGTGGAGGTTCTTGTACCCAGGATCCTTGCCAGCGTTTGTTATTATTTGATTGCTTGATGAAAGGCATTCTCTCTGGAGTATTATGGCATCTCTCTGTTATTTTAATTTACATTTAGGTAGCGGCCAGTGAAATTGAAATGTTTTCATGTATTTATTGGATATTTTAACTTTTTTAAGAGAAGATGTTTCAGTTCAGCGGATCTTTATTTTTTGAGTTCTTTGTATATTATATGCTGGACCTCTTGCTGAGAAACAGCTGGAAATTGTTTTCTCCCCTTCTGTGTGCTGTTTCTTCACTCTTTTGTATGTTAGATTTGCTGTATTAACCTTGTTTGTTTGCTGTGATCCCATTTGTTGTGTTTTTATGTTATATCTTATGGATTGGCATTCTGTTAAAAAACTCTTTAAGAGCTCAAGAATTTCGGGCCAGGGATTTAGTTCAGTGGTGTAAATCCTTGTCTTGCAAACGGGAGGTCTGGCAAGCACATAGTAGTGAGTTCGATCCCTAGTACCAGAGGAAAGGAAAAAGTTCAAGCATTTTACCCATGTAATGCAGATTCACCCATTTAACAATATTCATAATGTTTTTGTAAAATTTGACACTCTCATATTTTCCAGTTTGATATCCAAATAACATCTAATTTTTGTACTCACTTTTTTACAGCATAAAAAGCCAAGAATTTTTTGATAAATCTGTCAATAATTCAGTGTCCATGGACACAGAGATACCCCGCGGCAGGATCAATGGGGTAGAAGAGGCTGAAGGAGGCTAAGCCGTGTCCTGAGTCTAATGGTAAGCACTGTGGTTGAGAATAAACACAGCTTTCTCCTTAAAGAAGAGATATATTTCATAAACAAGGGAAATTAAAATAAGGTTGTTTCAGATCTCAGCGTAGCAGTTGCAGTGTTTCCAAAAGATAAATCCAGAGTGAGACTGCCAGCAGCTATCAGAGGAGAATTCATGACCGGAGTCAGTTTTGTGAAGCTTCTGGTTATATTGCTCTCACCAGTGGGGAAGTTCTGCAGAAGAGTGTTGGAGAAGACAGGCGTGCTTTTTCAGACACATGAGAATGCTCCCCTTAGCAGGAGAAATCCATAATTACTAGCAATGTGTGGATATATGAACTACTCTCACATCTACACTATTTGTCTCACATGTGTATCCACATAAAGAGAATTAATAGGGTGTAACATTTGCTATTTTCTATGAGACAAGCATAGTGCTAAGCCTAATCCTCTCTGGTACTGCTGTATCCTTACTATTTAGCAGATTGACTTATGAAGGTTTCCCAGAAACGTCAAAGGATTTCCTTTGTTTAGTCAATATTGTCTTTCTACAGTTTGTATATGAAGTGCAAGATATGAATATTGAGGTAAGTGACAAAATTTCCATTAGATAAAAGGCATCCATCACATGGGCAAGGGTTATGAGCAAACCTGCAGTGCTGTGCATACTGGCTTGGTCCCAGTGATGTCATCAACAGTTCATAGAACACGACCGAGGCCTTAGTGATAACTGATGTCCAGTGGATCGCTGCTCACCACAATAATTAGGTGAACAGATAGCTTCCCATGGTATTTTTTGGTTTTGGCTGTACAAATTTTATTTCTTCTCATTGTTGACTATCACTGTGAGAGCTGTATCAGAGAGAAATTTACCTGATTTCACCAATTCTCCAAAGAGTGGAATCATGAAACAGAAACAGAAGAGAAAACATCTAGAGAGCAGAATCTCACCTCCACCTGCAAAGATGTCAAGAGGTTAGTGTGTTAGTGTGTTCTCTTAGGAGGGAATGAGTAACTGTCTTTCCCATGAAGGAGAAGAAAGGATTTGTAGTTTGTGATGTAGCAGTGGAGGAGAGAGAGAAGCAACTGAATGAGGGAAGGAGATTTTTGTCTTACTGAGGAGGGCTCAGGTAGTCTGAGAATGAAGAGAAAGAGGATCCAGGTTTTATCCTGTGGCTTAGATGACGTGTCTGTCACTGCTACATACTTGGTCTAGACATTTTTTTCTTTTAAAAATGAATTTTCTGTCATTTGATTTTCTCTTGTGATATTGGGAACCAATGTAAAGGAAGTTACGATTTCCAACAGTACTCTCTTCCTTTTGATGAAGAAGAAACTGAGGTTCATAGAAATGAAAGAAATATTTTTAGAAGTTTAATTGTAGTTTCTGATGCAATGACTATAAAATGAAAAATTTACTTTGGAATAAAAAACTCATACTTTCACTTGGTACAACTCTATATGAAATGTAATAAAAAAGAGGACACACACACACACACACACACACACACACGCACGCACACACAGAGATGAATTAGCCAAGAATGGTGAGTGAAAGTGATAAAATTTGGCTCTTTACAGAAAAATTGGAAATTGAACAGTGGAGATTGCCTTGGAGATTAACAGTAAAGAAGTCCTAAAATTGAGGACACTTTGTTTAATGGTATAATGAGACAGATTGGAGCTGACCCCAAAATTCAAAAGAGTCACTCATATTTCTAAGTTTAGCAGTTAGCAAAATATTTACAGCTTTGGTGTTTTTGATGGTCCTTTGTATATAGCATAAGTCTGTTTTCATTTCCCTTTCATTAACATTGCTACATATTCACACTGTAGCCTATGAAATAGGGAAGCTCATAGTCACACAAACAGACACATTTGCAAGAAGACAAACATGGGCGCATCGCAGCAACAAAGAAACAAACAAACACAAAAAACCCAAAAGACCAGGGAAAGATCAATAGCAGTATCCACTGTAGTTGTCCACCTACTGTAAAATTCTGTGCCTCTTAAAGACAAAACACCTTAACTTCATCAGAAGAGGTCAAGCTGCTGTAAGTGGTCCATGCAGAGTGTACTTCTTACCTAGGTATGAACTCAGGGTATGTTCAAGGATACAGAACAGCTGTCCTTTGTGAGTTAATTCATAGGCTGAGATTAAAACATGTTGTCACTCACATAAAGGTTTCTAGGAGACCTTGGTTTATCAGCATCCCAGTCAATGGAAAGGGCAAATGGATGGAGAGGTGCAGGTGTGTACAGTACAGGTGTGCAACACTTGTACTCATTTTCCCTGTAGGAAGTGTACCCTCATGAGCAGGGCTAACTACAAGGAAGCACAGTCTCAATGGAAAAGCAGAAGCAAGCATTGTGCACATGTGGTGATCTGCAGTGTAGCACTCTGCATTTGAAATCTTTTACTAACAGGAGCCATGTAATTTGTCAAGAAGGGTGGAGGCACTATATGCTCACAGAAAATGTCACAGAATAGACTCCAATTATTTTATTAATCATAGATACACATAAACACCCAAGCAGAACCATATTTCTCCATCATTATTTGCTTTCTTAGGAGAGGTGAATGTGCGGCATGGTCTGTAGGGTCAAAATGAGCTGTTGTCAAACACCCACCGTTACAAAGCAGAAACATTTTTTACACTACCTCAGAGCACCTCTCCTCTGAAAACAAATCTCTTGGTGCAGGTATGGAAGGACTATTGAGCAGGGTCTGAGGGTTAGCTATGTCTCGGCATATTCCAGATTTGAGTTGAATGTTTCTGACCATCAGGTGAAGCAAGCTATTTAGTCTGAAAGGAGCGGAAAATAATCAGAAATGGACCTACTAGATCCCTAGAGGAAAGCATGTGACCCCAAAGTAAACCCAAAATCCCTGGAGGACTGGGTTCTGTTTGGGAAATGGCTAGAGACTGACCAACTGCTTAAGAAATGGTCAGAGACACCTAAAAATAGTATGTTAGTATGATCAGAAAGAGTGTTTGGGCTTCTCTGAAGATGTGAAGACCTTAACAGCAGAAGTCCAAGATCCTAAATTCCTCAGTATTCCCCATCATGACATACACTGTAGCTACATCAAATCACAGAGCACATCACATGCCCGGATTTCCACAGGCAGCCTTCCCACACCCGTCCCTCTCCAGAGACCTCCACACTGTCACTCTCATAGCCGCCTTTCCTTCTAATTTTCCATCAGCACCTGAATTCTGTAGTCTCAGTTTTGGTCCCTATTATGCAAATACGAATGAATCCTCTGACTTCTGGATGATCCTGCATTCATTTTCTATTGTTTAGCTTTGTGCAAATCGAAGAGTAAAATGTAGACCTTATGTTTCTGCCGTTTCACTCATCCTTACATTCATGAAGGTCATGTGTGTAGCGTGTGATTGTTATTTTTATAATCTCATGATAACTTACATTCTTCTGCTTGCCGAAAAATAATTTATTAATGATTATCCATTACCTGGGATTAGGATTGCTTTCTATGCAGCGAGTAATACAATGTTTTCAACATTGTTTTCTGCTACATTAAAATTTTGAGGGGGTAAAAGAGTAAAATATTTTTATAATTCTATATCAACCAATTTGGAATTAACATTTTATATTTTTATACACAAGCACATTAATATCCATTCAGTATTTTAGAGTGTTCTAAGCATCCTTTATTTATTATATATATTCTCAGAGTCCTGCATTTTCCAAAGCTAATGTGTTCTTTTTTTTCTTATTTCCATCTTGTATACTCAAGATCCTTGATTTTTTCCTTACAGTTCACATACAATAATTGCTCTTATCTCACATTATTTTAAATAACTATTGCATTTCTTAACAACAAACTATTCCACCACGCGCGCGCGCGCACACACACACGCACACACACACTCACTTAATTAGGAGGCAGTCAACAAAGGGATGTGTCCTTCAACACAGAAACACCCCACAGTGCCATCACTTTCCAAGCAAAACTTGTCCCATACGCACATGTGTAACCACCAAATCGACGTCAGTTGAAGCTTGGTTTAATTTTAAGCAACACGCAATAATCTCATCTTTAGGACACACACATCACTTCACTGCTCCTATGCCTCACATTCTTGCAAGACACCTGCTGTTTTAATTTGAGATCTCTAGTGAAAGACGCTGGTGCTCTTGATCAGTTAAATAAAGGGAGATGAGCTGGTTCTCACTAGGAACAGGCCAAGTAGTATAAAACCATCATGAATATTTAACTTCTCCAAACATAACAGTCTACCAAACCTTTCATTTGAGATTGTGACTCTTTAGGAGGAGATACAGAGAAAGGTGAGGTAGATGCAGGGGTGCTCTGAGCTTGGACAAGAGTCTGAGCCGAGCTGCTTGCCTGACCCCTTCTCACAAACAGCATAGGGCCTGAGGAGAGTGGGACTAAGATTGAGGCCTCTGAGGGGGGACAAATAGGAAATAAGGCTCCCAGCATGGGACAGAAATTCTGAGCACACCTTTCCATGTGAACACTGAGGCAGCAGTGGGTGAGTCCTTGTACCATGCTGAGCTGTGTAGGGGATGTGAGCAGGTCCTTCCCATCAGAGCTGCATACATTAAACCTCACAGCTCATGTCACATACGTCATAGTTCTGTATGTCACCATGCTGTGGGCCATTGCTCCTTCTTTTTGCCTTTCTCACAAACACTCTTCTCTCTCCCTTTGCCTATCACATTCCCTATTAATATTTCCTATGTGCACCCTTCACTCTCATTCCTACACGCAGTGGTTCTCAGATTCACCACTGTATGCACCATCCCATAGAGAGCTCCCCATCCTCTCTGAGGGATAAACTGTCCTAACTCCATCCTGTGTGATAGACCACATAATAGAAATCTTCAGTGTCCTTCTCAATATGTATATTTTCTCACCAAAACACCACTTCTTCCTCCATGCCATCAGGGCTTCATGGAGTTGCATGTTCTGGGGTCATAAGCACGTCCCCCTTCATGTAGGGCTGATGTCACATGTGTACCAGCATTCATACCTCATGCTATGAGTCACATCATGTGCTGTGTAATACAACATAACACCTTCCCTCACACATACACACATGCCCGTCACTGTATGCTTTTAACAGGACCAGAAACATTTACCAGATAGCTACCAGAAAATAGATGAATGATTAGACATACTGTGTGTATAACATATATGTGTATAACTGTGTATATTTACAGGATTTATAATACATATTTGTGTATTTCTAGGAAGCGCCACAAACTCATTTTTCATCTTGCACACCACACACAGAATTCTGAAACATCTCATATATGCTCTACCATCTCTTTTGCCCCAATGCAGGGATGTTCTTCTGGGTGCCATCACATCTCATGTTTCTTTAACATTTTCTTTTCTAGAATGCAATGAATTGCCTGAATATTTTCCACGTTTTGCGTCCTGCAAGAGGCCTCTGCATCAGGATTTGATGGAGTATCAGAATTGCTCCTCCACTTCAGGTCCCCGTTTACCTTACAGCTTTGTCAATAACCCCTCGATGACCTCAGGGTGTGCTGAAGGGAAAAGAGTCATGAACGTTTACTACATGCGTGTCCTAACCAGGAGGGGCGTGGCGATCTTCGGGGATACAGAAGGAGATCTGCAGCCTCCCCCAAAGAGGATAAGCATAGCCAAACTCAGCTTTCCTGAGGGGATTCCTCCAAAAGTCGTCCTCCCTGAAGATACAGGGCCTCTCCTATGTGACGGCAAGGCTCACGGGGACAGTGACTCCCTAGAAAAGTGGAAAGAGGCTAAGAGAGCATCGAGGCCCCTGGCACAGCGGATCTATCCCAGGGCTAAATACCCACCCTGGCTGCTGGAGCTGGAGAGGGGCTTCAGGTGCATGGGCTGCTGCAGAGTCTTCCCCACGCTGAAGGCCCTCACCCGACACGTGGCGCATGGCCTGGAGGAGGGCTTTTCATGCCTTGCGTTTCACCGGGCCTTTGCCAGGCTAAGGAGCAAGAGGAAGAAGGAAAAAAAGCGGGTCCTTAGGAAGAGAGGACGGCGCTATTGATACAACCTTTCTGGCCCTAGGGAGAAAGTTATGCGGTTGTGCTGTGTTTGCATTTTGAACTTGTTTGTGAATTTTGTTTTGCTTTTCAAATAAATCATAATTTTCTTGTTCTTGACTGGTTTGTAGAGGCAACAAATAAGGTTGGACTTCAGTGTCATAAACCTGTGGGCTTAAATCTCTTCCCTTTTGCACCTCTGTTCTTTTTTTGCATTAGCTTGCAGTCTTGGCAATGGAGGTCCTAATAAATGATTATAAGTCACAAATGAAAATACTTATGTAGGTCATAAGGCACAGCTTAATCTTGTATCACTGAGTAGGCAAAAATGAGGCCTGGCCCTCAAGGTGCGTCTCGCTCTGGCAGCCAGAGGAAGTGTGCCACTAACCGCTGTCCCATGGATTATCTCTCACTCAAGCCTTGCAGGTGGCCCAGGACAACTTCCCTCAGCATTTTCTGGCTTCCTGTGTGGCTGCCTGCACAGGTTTGCAGCTGCAACCCTGACCAGTGCTTTGTCCTTCCTCACGCTGCGTTGCAACTCACGCTGAAGAGTGCTGGAGAAGTGGGCCAAGGCTGAGGGGGATCAGAGCACATTGATGATGTCTATGAGCGCCCAAACACCAATGGGCTGTCATCACTTTTGCCAGGAGACCTCTGGAGGTTTCTGCAGACAGGGACAGTGATCATTGTTGTTTCTCCCATTTAGCAGAAATGTCAGGTGTCACCCAAGCAGCTGCTGCTCCTGAAGTAGGGCTACACTGTTGCCATCACAGCTGTGTCCGTCCTTACCTTTCTAAAGACCTCTCAGAAGGGTATTTGTTTTGGCCAGAGCGGACTGGAAACATAGGTCTATCCAAGTTGAGTCTGCCCTGGAGCCATTCGAGGTGAACTTTGGAAAGCCAATGAATAAGGAAAAAATATCTTGGCCAGGGGGTACAGAAATAGCCTAGCTCATCTGCAGGCCACACATAAAAATTTGATGGCCCCATCTGAGATCAGTTTACGTGGCTTCCACACTGAAATATGGCAAAAGCAAATCTAAATCTCTTAACAACAGTGCTCTAGGTGAAAGGAAGCTTACACTTTCAGTGTAGTTTTTCACTTTCCATCCTGTGACATCCAGGAAGGCATGACAGAAACATTTGAAAGCAATGCTGAGCAAACCAATGCCAATCTGTCCCCACTCTGGTCTGACTATATGTGTCCTCAATTTCACATGATGAAAGTAAATTGAAGTTTGCTTGTTATTTTGGGTGGATATTTGGTGGATGGTTAAGGGATATAGGTCTGCTTAGGGAACAGTGCCCTTATCTAAGAAGCCTGAGGGACCTTGTTGAATTTTGTCTTCTTCAGAGCACATGTGGAGCAGAACACTCCTTCTGGGAGAAAACTGCCATGGTAGACTCTCACATGCTGGTACCTGCTCTTTCCATTGGTCCGTGAACACTGTGTTTCTGTTGTGGGCAAGTGACCTACAGCAGTGTGTTACAGAAGTCCAAGTGATCTGACAGATATTTCCTCCTCCTCGTTGATGCTGTTAATCCTCCTTTATTATTTCTTTTCTCCAGTGCTATACCTGGGAACAGTTCTGTGTTCTTTGTTCTCTGTTCTCAGTGTTTCTGCTGCGTACTGCTCACATTTGTCCTCTCTCTGATTTGTGGCCCTTTCTTATGTCACTTTGCCTGTTTAATTCCTGGCTTTTTTTCTTACTTACTTCCACTCCTACTTAGCATGGTCTGTGTTCTAAATTTCAGATCTCACTCCCCTTAGCCACTATATTCTGAACCTTTTACTTTCGTAAATTATCTACCATGTATCACATTCCTCCAAGCTGTAAGTTCGCTCATAATATTTTTACCAAGTATAGAATTAAATTCCTTCTACAACCTGCAAGTGTTCATTTGTGTGTCGCAAGCACCTAAAGCTCTACATATTCAGTCCCAAGGTTGCTATCATCTAACACCTGATGTTCCCCTTTGCAGTGCTTGTTTTTTTATAAAGTAAACAATTTTACCCGGTTTCTGGAACTAGTATCATGGAAGTTCATGTGCTTGTTCTCATTCTCATTTTGTTCCTACATTCAGTCTCAGAGATGCACACATTCAGTTGAATTTTTTATGCAATTTTTAAATATAACACTGGCTATTCAAATAACCTTGGACACGATAACTTTGGTTCCTTTTTGGAAATTAGTTGCATATATCAGTTGAATAAATTCAAAGTAAAAGCATCATTTTACACCCAATATCTGTAATATCTTCTTCCAATATTTAATAAAAAACACCATACTTCTGATTTGAGTACGAAAGAACTTGAGTGGTCCAGAAATATTTCTGTATGAATACAAATCATAGTATATATAATAATCATCATCATCTTAGTTGGATATGACTTTTGGGAACATCTTTTTAAAAGATAAACACTTTGGATTTTCTCTACTTGTTGAATGGTGTGCAGAGAATAAAATGTTTTGTATCATAGAAGGGGCTGGATTGGTGGGACTGAGCATGTCTATTGTGTTGTGCTCCAGTAGTGGGACCTAGAGAATTTGAAACAGGGCAGGAAACCCCATTCAGTGTGTGTTTTTCAATCCTTCTGGAGAGCCAAGTGTAATAGAGGCACAAGACTCTTGTGTAGCAAGAAGCACAGCACCCAGCTCGCAATGTATTGTCAATCAACGGCAGAGCCTTTCCCCAGGTTACATGGGGCTTAGAGCTTGGTTGAGACTCTTACTAGAAAACTGTATCCTTTATTCTCTGCCATACCCTGTCATTCAGGTTCCCCTTCCTTCTCAGAGGTCTTTGGGCTGTGCGGAGCGTTCTACAGTTTTTTTTAAAAATTTTATTTAAAAGGAAAAAACAAAACAAAACAAAACAAAACAAAGTGGTGTAAGGCTACAAGTAATACAGAACTGCAAAGAAAAAAAAACAGTAAGAAATCACCAGTTAATAGATTACACATTATTGTCTTAGAGATAGTTGCTCAAGTCACAGTATCAAAGCATACAAAGTGGACATTCAAACACTGAGACTGCAAATAGTTGTGTTCAATGATCCAACCAAAAACATTAATATGGTCATATATTTAACACCCCTAAACACATTTGCTGTTATATCTTTTAGAGCACTTTTTTTTCCTCTCTTTTTTTACAACAAAATTTACACATTCAGAGCTGACTCTCATTGGTGATGGAATCCTTGGTGAAATTGTTACGACTTTATCAACATTTACCTTATTAAATAAAAAAAATATTAGTATCATGATGATCAGTCTGAGAATTACAGGGCTTTTAGGAGTTTTTTTTATTACCAGAAATCGGGGCCAAAATGGAATTTTAAATTACACAACACATACTGCAAGGATTTCAAATTAAATTTTAAGTTTAAATGTTTTCACAGACTAACCAATCTGCCAAGAAATTTTTTTGAGAATTTTCATTAAATAAGAAAAGCTTAAGTTCTGGTACCTCTGGGCATAGTGGTGCATGGCTGTCATCCCAGCCCTTGAGAGGCTGAGGCAGAGGGGTTGCCATGAGTTCTAAGTTGACCTTGCCTTCATATGATTTCAAAGTCAGCCTAAAGTGCACATGAAGACCCTGTCTCAAAAACAAGCAACATAAACAAAAAACGCTCCCATATAACAGAAAATTTTAAGGATTTAATAAAGCAATGTGTTCCAAATAATTTCAAATGAATTTAAGGTGTATTTAGTGTGGCACATCGGAAAAAGAAATTTAATGTAAATTAATATCTCTATTTCCTACAAGCAAAGATTGAACACTGTTCTATATCAAGCCAACTACATATCTGAAAACAGAAAATCTTCAAAACCAAGAATAGTTTGTTTGCTGAGCATGGTGGTGCAAGCCTGTAATCTGAGCCTGTGGAAGGCTGATGCAGGAGGATCACTGCAAATTAAAGGTCAGCTAGCACTAAATAGAAAAAGAAGAAGGAGAAGGAGGAGGAGGAGAAGAAGAAGAAAAAGGATCCTAGGAAACACTTTCTTGTTGGCAAATTAATGTAAATTTCCCCATGAAAAAATTAAGTAAAAATTATGTATCAGCGTCTTGAATGTGTGCCATAATACCTTTAGTAACAGTCAAGAACTTTTCATGCAAATCTTGTAAATTACATTACACTCAAACTGTTAAAGAGCTTCAAAACCTAGCAGCAACTAATGGAGCAATCCTTCTCCTCAGCATATATCCAAGGAAAATGCAATCAGAATATCAAGGTATATGTGCCTTCCAGTGTTTTTTGCAGCACCATTCACAATATTCAGGATGTGGAATCAACCAAGAAGACCCCTGAGCCATGAACGACCACAGTTATTGCTAGGGAAACACAATAGAATACTTTTAGTCCACCAAAAGTCCAAATCTTATAATTTGCAGTAACATTCCCCAGAGGTATCAAGAATCTAGAGACTGCAAGTTAAAGTGAAACAATGTAGGTATAAAAATACTGTCTTGTTTCACTCATGAAACTACAGAAATTGTGCTGATAGAGTTCCAGGACAGAATAATCTTCAGAGAAGCTGGGCAGTCGACAATAGGGAATGATTAACAAATGAGAGTGTGTCCAGACATGTCTGGTTCTTTGTTAATCTAAAGAGTGATAACAGCATCATTTCTGAGTATTCAGAAATCTAGAAGAGAGAATGTGAAATGTTCTTTTAACCAAAGTAATGATAATTTCAAGATATTTAAAATAAATAAAAATAGTTGACATTATGGAGAACCTTCATATCACACATTAATAAGTACATAAAGTATAAACACATCAAAATATCACAGTGTATCCCATAAATTATCACTTAATTATCTGTCAATAACAAAACCGTTATGATAAGCAAATTAGTCACTTTTGAAATATTAGAAAGAAGAAAATATAGGTGATTATTAACATTTCATTTATCATTAAATAATGTTAAAGAATATAAATTAAGCATTTAAAAATTTATAAAGATTGAAAATGAAAAATTGAAAATATCATCATTTGCATATACTAAAGGGTTGAGATTCTCCTCAAAGAATGTTTTGCACTGTTATTCCTGTGATTTAAATGGCTGAATATGAGAGCGGGACACTTGTAAGGTAGGACTGT